AGCATGGCACTAATGGAGTGGAGCCTGTGCTGCGTTCAGGCGTTGTTACGTACATAACAAATTCCAGCACTTGAATAGGCTGTAGCACAACACAGCAGCGTGTCAAGTGGGCCGAACCCGAGCAAACTACCGTGAAACACTGTGAAACCGATGTGATTTTTAAAAAAACGTGATATGAAAATGTTGTCATAGCGCCCAGCCCTACAGATAAGCATCTGTAAACACAACACGTCTTTATGGCAACCGTGTTGTTTCCACATCACAACTATTAGAGCTCATCAACACTCTGAAGTTATAGGAACAACTTCCAACTCTGAAAAAGGGAAAATTCGAGCAGCACTTGAACGCAGCACCAGACTGACTGTCTGACGACCAGCGTCCACTCTCACTCCACCTGTGTCTCTCTGTTGATCTTACAAACAGTGTCACTTTTTGAAAACTATATGTAAAAGATAACAATCCCATAATAACAATAATAACGAGTGTTTACCTGAAGGCAGTGAGGTACTCCACATCACCCATAGGTGGCTCCACTCCTCCAGTCCACGCGATGTTCACATTGAAACCAACACCTGCACCTGAGCCCACCTGCAGACAGAGACAGACACAGAGCTGTGGTCACTGTGGACGCTACAGAGTAATTTTACCTCTGTGTGTGTGTGTGTGTGTGTGTGTGTGTGTGTGTGTGTGGGTGTGTGTGTGTGTGTACCTCCTCAGGAGCTCCGCTGCCAGGGAAGAAGTTCCCGTCGTCATAGCGATGGAGGGAGATGTAGAGGACGTTTGGGTCGCTGTAGAAGGCCTGCTGGGTGCCGTTGCCATGGTGAATGTCCTGCAGTGACAGGTCACAGTGACATCAGAGAGAAGGTCAGTGCTGATGAAGACGCTGTGGACACACTGTGTGAGCTGAGTTTCACTATATGATTACTGTGACATAAAGACGTCATGGTAACGCTGTCATCTCATCATATATAAGAAAGATCAGCTCTGCTACACTGAGAATAAATCAGCCGTTAGTTTTATGACTAATGGTGAAAACAGAGTCGTCTGGTTAAACGTAACTCGTGTGTTACGTGTGTTTACAGCTGGTTTACTTGTGTGACAGGATGGAGGCAGACTCTGATTTAACAAATGAATTAACTTTATTTCAGTCAGGAAAACTTCAGTCAAAGAAACTTCATTCCCATTTGCAGTGTTATATTTGGCGGCATGGCTCTGCCCTTCCACGTGCACACGAGCAAAGCCTGATGTGTTCACACTGGGCACGAATAAAACAAAAAATTACTTGTAACGTCATTATAAAGATGCCATTAGATTATGACGTATTTGCAGCAGGTAGTGTAATGAATGCCGAACACGTGAATTAAGCAGCATTAATTAAGTGAATACATGATTTGGTGTCACATGCTTATTCACAAGAGATGAAAAATCTGAACTTCAGCGACTGATTCGTGCCGCCACAGCCCATCAGCACTGAGATCCTTTGACGCAGAGGGCATACCAGCGGAAGATTATTCATTGATTCAGCAATTTCACGCGTGTGAATTGAGCCAATACAAAATATTCTAGCGTTCAAACTTAGGCGAGTCATATGACATGAAAATTTGCATCGCATTTGGTGATGCTGCGTTCGTTTTGTACTCATAGGTTGGAAGTCGGAAGTAGGAATGACGTCACCTCCGAGTTGACAACAGTTTTTACATTCTAGTTGACGACGGTGGACAAGTTGGAAAAAAAACACAGACGCCCGCAAGAAAGCCTTTGTTGCCCTTGTACTTTTGGAGTATAGACAGCTTCAAAACCATCATGCACTCCAACTGATGAACGCCGCAGATGAGGCTGAACTGATGTGAAACAAATAAGATAAAATTGCTATAAACAGTACTTTAGCAGAGTGTTGACTCACTATGTATGTGACCGGCAGCCATCTTGAATTTGTAAGTCGAGGTTGATGCGGTTGCTCCGAGTTTCTGAGTTGGAAATTCAATCTCAGGGTGAGTTCGAGTTTAAACTTCCGACTGGGTACTGGGAATTTACAGCCTCCGAGTACAAAACGAACGCACCATGAGAACACAATATGAGGCAGAGAGAGCAAACCTCTTCGCACATACGAGGAAATCCTGTTCACACCGGGTGAAAATAAAACAATTCACACAAGTGAATTACATGTAAAGTTAATGTAAAGACGCGATTAGATGTGAATTCCTGCCGAGCAGTGTGATGGATGCGAATGGATGCGGCGTGAATAACGCGAGTAGAGTGATTTCGCATCATCCACTTATTTGCAAGAGTTGAAAAATCTGATCTTCAGCGACCAATTCACGCCGTGATAGCCAATCAGCACTGAGATCCTCTGGGGACGTATGACACCAAGGACGTACCTGCAGAAGTTCATTCATCGATTCAGTGATTTTACGTGCGTGACGCAGTTGCCCTTCCATGCGCATACGAGGAAAGCTTGTGTGTGTGTGTGTGTGTGTGTGTGTGTGTTACTCACCCAGTCCACAATGAGGATCTTGCCCACTCCCAGTTTCTGTTGCAGCAGTTTGGCAGTGATGGCGACTGAATTAAAGAAACAGAACCCCCTGTTCACACAGAGTGTTACAGTTAGTCGTCATCAGAGTGTGACGTGGTGAAACACCCAACAATGTAACAATGACCGCGTGTGTGTGTGTGTGTGTGTGTGTGTGTACTGACATGGCGGTGGACTCCTCAGCGTGGTGACCTGGTGGACGAACCACAGCGAAGCCGTTCTGGGACAGACAGAGACGCAGAGTGAAGGACGGATCAGACAGTGTGTGAGTATCAGAAAACTCAGCAGTGTGTGTGTGTGTGTGTTACCTTCAGCTCGCCTGCAGCCACTCTGAAGGCCAGCTCGATGACGGAGCCGACTGCCATGCGGACCGCCGCTGATGAGTGCATCTCATTCCACACGGTGTCACTGTCCACCTGCAGGGGGCGGCACAGAGCTCAGACCATCAGACCACAGATAGAATAATATTGGTGAGCAAGTAAACATGGTTTATTGACAGAGAGCCTCACCCCGATTCCTCCACAGGGAAGAACAGCGTACATCTTCTGGCTGATTGGACCTGAAACAACCAATCAGAGCAGAGCTCACAGGTCATGTCAGGACAGACAGACAGACAGACAGACAGACAGACAGTGAGACAGACAGACAGATGGTTACCCAGCAGCTTCTTGTGGTCCAGCTTGTGTCTGTTGAGCGGACTGGTTCCGTACAGCAGAGTGTGGAACTCTGAATGGACCGACTGGATCTCATCCAGAGACGCCTTACGCCCCCGAATCCTCTGCTCACACACACACACACACACACTGAGTTTGTACAAATCAAACAGTCAAAGCTCCAGAGTGTCGGATTTAAAGTGAATCTGATCTGATGTTTGTGTTCTTGTTCCCTCAGAATGCGACGTTCATATCTACACAGGGAGCAGGTCCTCGTCTACAGAGATCACCACGTTGCACCGCCATGTTTCTACAGTAGCCCAGACTTTACAATGTGAAACAAAGCTGAACTAACGGCTCATCTCCAACAGACCAAACACAGTCTCAGAGAAACACTGATGTGAACAATGAAACGTCTTTATTCAGAGTTTTTATTGGTTTAACATCTCTAACTCAGCCAGGACGCTGACGTCCTCGCTCCCCCCATCCTCTGTTAAATGGTATCTCCCAGGCGCACTATGTCATCAAACCATGTGATGTTTGGTATTGCTGGATTCAGGAAGCTCTCGACTTTTCAAAAATAACATTGTTTTTCTTTCATTTATTATGTATTTCGCACCAGAGCAGCCTAAACACACAAAGTCCAAAATCACTATGAGTGGTGACAAGTCATGTCATGCCGTTTTTTGAGGGGAAAAGTTAAAAGATTACTCGCGATCTTATGTGGAGCTGTTAGCGGGGACTTAGCTGATTTATAAAAGGTAAGAGTCTCACTCCTACCACTATTTTTGGCTGAGATACACCGTCTAGAAAGTGGGATCATAACTTTCACGTTTCATATGGCTTTATTTGGTGATATTTTATGGTGTTTCTGTGTCATAAACAACATCAGCTATCATAATCACACCTGATTTCAATAAGGTACAATGTTTGAAGCTGGCTGAGTGTTGTTTGATCACTGATAGTACTGTTTTGAAGCAGAGTGACCCACTTGTCATTTGGAGCTCCGCCTGGATCTTTTCATGGTAAAAACACTGTAGAATGGTCATACTTTGAGCAGTCTTCTTCAAATATGAAACAAGTGTTCATTGATAGTGTGCCTACAGCCCCACAGTGTCATTTACCTGCTCAGATGAAGCCACAGGCAGTTATTCATCCTGAAAATCATTTTTTATTTTATTTTAGGCAAAATCTTCAAATTTATACTGACTTCAGAGGCCCATTACTCTGTCTCTGTATCACCTAGAGTGTTTCTGACACTTTCACAAGAAACTTCAGGGAGTTTTCTTTCTGGCAAGACCTCATGCATGCATGTAGTCAGAGCGGTTCAGAAGCTACAGTCATTTTAATTTGGGTATGTCATTTTAGGTGTTTCTGCTACAAAATGGGGGTGGAGTACAAGAGGTTTTAAATCAGCTGCAGTCTCATTTATAAACACTGCGTACGCACAAACCGAGGGTTGAAAGAGGCAAACGCCACTTCACATGCAAAAGTTGTGATCTATAAAAACAGACTTGACGTAAGAAACTTTGATCCATGCTGACGAACATTTTGGAAAAGGGGAATCTGCGATGCAGACGGTGGAGGCTGATTGTGCAAACGGTTGAATATATTTTGGTGCGCGCCATTTTGACTTTTGTCTGTACATACTGTACATTTTTAGTATAGATCCAACTCATTGTTTTAATAATGAGATCCCTGGTGAGTTTGTCAGTTCTCCAATTTCTGTATGGGTATAATATTGAACCTGTCCTTATGAAAGAAAATCAACAATTATAATAAAAAAAAACTAAGTAAAACTTTTATAACCATCAGATTACAGCAATGTGGGCGGAGCTCTGTCCAGAGTATTAAGGACTGTGTGTGTGTGTGTGAGTGTGTGTGTGTACCTCGCAGCGGCCCAGTAGGCCCGTCTCCTGCAGTCTGGACCAGATGCTCTGCACTCTCCCAGCATGCTCCGGGTGGATGTGAGCGTTGCCACAAACACACTGATGCTTCAACATCAGACTGTCGTAGACGAGCCCTGCAGACAGTAAGGACAGAGACATGTAGATATCAACCAGGGCTGAACAAATAAGAGCTGGGGAGAGATGCATGCTGGGTAAAACAATAAACTCATAAAGAGAAATAAAACATACAGATCATACACGCTAAAGATCCTCCACTGTGTGTTCTGTAGTAACTGATGATCACCACCAGGTGTCAGCAGATACAACTGAAACATGACTGAAGGTCCCAGTTAACTGACGGAGAAGACACCTGAATGTGAAGTCCAGAGCAGAGCAGACCAAAGATTCAAACAAACAACTGCTGTCGACACTCCGTTCTGTAACGTAGTAAAATGCTGCTGGTTGACAGGAAGTGACCACCATGAGACGGTGTATCATCTCTAGTCAACAACTCTCTGTACTTCTGATCTGTAACGTTGACAGGAAGTGACCGCCATGAGACGGCGTATCATCTCTAGTCAACAACTCTCTGTGCTTCTGATCTGTAACGTTGACAGGAAGTGACCACCATGAGACGGCGTATCATCTCTAGTCAACGACTCTCTGTACTTCTGATCTGTAACGTTGACAGGAAGTGACCGCCATGAGACGGCGTATCATCTCTAGTCAACAACTCTCTGTGCTTCTGATCTGTAACGTTGACAGGAAGTGACCACCATGAGACGGCGTATCATCTCTAGTCAACGACTCTCTGTACTTCTGATCTGTAACGTTGACAGGAAGTGACCGCCATGAGACGGCGTATCATCTCTAGTCAACAACTCTCTGTGCTTCTGATCTGTAACGTTGACAGGAAGTGACCACCATGAGACGGCGTATCATCTCTAGTCAACGACTCTCTGTACTTCTGATCTGTAATGTAACGTCAGTCTACGGCGCAGGTTATGGCGTAGACTCTGTACGGTGTTGATTCGACACAGAAGTATGAATCCCACTTAACTAAGTCCCTCAGCTAAGGAGCAATAAAGCCTTTAGTGTCACATTTAAGGAGAAAACTAAAGGTGTTTTGTGCAGCTGGTCCCAGGACATCAGCTCCTGCAGAAGAAACTCTGAAGAATTTCAGGTTTTTCAGTTCATCTGAACCGCCAGCTAACAGTCAGCTCCCTGTTGCTAGGCAACCAGCACGGTGGTTTAACAGCGGGCGCACCGACACGGCTGATGTCAAACTGTCGTCCAATAAGGGAGCAGATGTGCAGAGAGAGAAACTGACCGGTGGTGAAGAGGTGTTTGATGGGATTGACGGTAGCCGTGGCGGGGGAGGACTGAGCTCGTCCCAGAGGTCTGTGGGGCAGCGAGGACTGGAACACACCCAGCTGCTGCAAGGCCTGATGGGAAGGAGGGAAGAAGAGAGACACAGAGAGAGAGAGAGTTATGATTCACAGCAGCAGGATGAATCAGAGAGGCGTTCATTCACTGCAGAGATGGCGTGCTGAACGCCAACAGTCCTCCTGTCCGTCTCCGTCATCACACACTCAGATATTCTGTCAGCTCATAAACGTTGATAAAAGCGCTCAAACTCAGCGACTGATTCGAACCAGTGATAAAAATGCTGCTGCGACTCGTTTCATGATGACGACATTTGTGTTCAGGTTTTCGTGACACTCGGACTGACTGTGCTGAATCTTCACTCATCACCAACCTCCACAGAGTGTGTGTGATTTTAAGGTTTGTCTGCAGACACACACACACACACACACACACACACACACACACACACACACACTGGGTCTATATATAGGGAGTGTTGCTGTGCTCCCTGCTGCGATCTGGGTGACTCATCATGTGTGGGTGGACACTAAAACACACACACTTCAAGATATACAGACGTACAGGAAGACACACAGCAATGAGTCCAGGGGTTGAGTCACCAGCTGGTGATGTCACTGCAGCGTCAGTGTGTGTGTGTGTGTGTGTGTGTGTGTGTGTGTGTGTGTGTGTGTGTGTGGACGCCCAGCGGTGAGGCTCTCGTGTTGGAGGACAGTTTGAAGGAGTTTGTTCAGGTAGGTTTCAGGTTTCAGGCGCTGACAGAACACGGATCTATATGTCACATGATGACGTCAGCGAGCATTTCACAAAACGAAGAGTTGCACTGAGTTTCATTCAAATTCATCCTTTTTCTGTTTGTGTAAAATGTCAGAGCTCTCCGGATGACTCATCCTGCTCCTGTGCGCTTTGACAAAAATCCACTCAACTGAATGTGATCACAGATTTGAGACTCATCCATTCATCCTCCAGCACAAACACCTCCCACAGCGAGCACGGGTCAGAGGGGTCGACCGGGTGTGACGAGGCGGGAGAAACAAAAGAGCCCGTTCACAAATGATATCAGAATGTGTCTCGAGTGACACTTGTGATCTGATCTCACTTCCTGCTCTGTGTGTAAATAAACAAACGCATCATTTCTGTTTGCAGAAACCGAATGTTGTTAAGCAGCATCAAGACGCCACCCAGCTCGCCACCATCACTCAGTATGTTTCCTGTGCGCAGTGAAGTGTTTCTACAGTCCCAGCTGGACGAGGACATCTAACTGGCCTACTGTCCTTGTCCCAGTATACAAGCACGGGAGGGGAATCCATTTATTGAGCCAAGTATGTGCGACTCCTCTACGATAGGTGGAGATATGCCCCCTTTCAGCTTGTTAGTATTGGACCTTTTTCCTGTTGACCTATTACGTCACAGACCAAACAATGGACAAACAAGTTAGCTACGGTTAGCTAGCAGCTAACTGCTACCATGGTGGACAACTTTACAGCTCTGTACATTTGGTCCGTCCAAAAAGTCACGGCTCTGGATGTAGATTTCTCCATGTTGTTACCGGCTTCTTCTTCTCTTACACATTTAATGCTATTGGACTTCCGGGTCAAAGCCCGGGGCGGAAACTGTGGAGCATGCTCAGAGCGCCTTTGGTGTTGGGTGACCACACTCAATGTCAGGACGTCTAATACCAACATGAACTTTAAGTAAAATACTGACAGAGGATGACGTTCATATTTTGTCTTCTAGTACTTTGATGCAGCAAAGTATGGTGATATTGTGTCTACACATGGACAACAAGTATTTATCTTTTATTATCTACATTATTCATTTTTGCAAATACACATTTTGTTAATGCTGTTAAAATAACGTGTTAATTTTGGTTAATTAATCACAGAAAAATAACGTGTTAGAAAATAAACACTGACTGATGGTGTTCCATGATGCCCTTTGACCCTGTGTGTCACTGAAGGCCACAGTGTCTCTGTCACATGATAGAGGCAGACGAGACGACGCTGCTTACATTTAAAAAACACCCAGATGGAGCTGTTGATAGGAGCACTGTTCTCTGCAGGTTCTGCAGGAAGAAACTTTCGCACCATCAGAGAACTTCAGCCTGAACTATCACGTCAACACAAAGAGGTCTGAGCTAGCACAGCCTCTGATGCTAACGCTAGCAGCCTCATCGAGCCATGCTCGACCAGGTGTTCAGACTGAGCTGGCTAACTGGCTGAGCTTCCCTCCGGTCATGCTGCGGCTAACGCTCCGCTAGCCGCTCCCAGCTAGCTCCGGTTTGTTATTCAGGATAAAGTGTGAAGAAGCAGCGGGTCTGTGGGGCAGCTGAGTGAAGTGGAGCCTGAGGAGGAAGCACCGGTTAGCCCCGGTTTCACTACAGGCAGATTCACTCGCTACAGGGGCGAGGAAATAAAACCTGAACAGCCAATCAGAGTGATCTCTCTCACCGACAAGCTCCGCAGCAGATTCAACATGCTCAATCGGCCGAAAAGCCGACGACGCCAAAGTGCCGAAGGAGCGGGACACACCGCAAAAACTAGGCCGACAGACGCTCACAGACGGCCCGACTTTGGTCGACGGCCGACCGTCAGCTTGATGTGTCAGGACCTTCAGAGAATGGACTGCAGACCAGTGTGGGTGGTCGAGGACAGAGGGACAACTGTGTCCAAAATCCAGCAGCTTCACTACGACACATCTGACAACATTCATTTCACCTGAAATTTTCTAAATACTTTCACAGCAAAATTTGATATATGTGATTAATTAGATTCTATTTTTTCAATCGCTTGACAGACTTAATTTCAACACAACCTTTGGTACGAGAATAATAAAATCAGTTGACTGATAAAGATCCAAAATCCTCTCTGTAAAAAAACTTTGATTCTAATGTGACAACAAACCTGACTATCACATCAGATCGTTTCAAAGTCTTAAGTTTCACAGCAGCTGGTGACTGAAGCACACTGAGTCTCGTCTGTGACTCTTCATCACATTTGGGTTCATTAAAGATGAGAACTTCTCTCTCAGAGCAGATAATAATCATGTTACACAACGAACTCGTCACAGCGCAGCGTCTTGTTTCTGTAACGAAGCTGCACGACCAGAGAAAAACCCAGAAGGAAAACAGAAATGCTCTGCGGCTCAGGAAGTGTGAAAACAACGGTGCGAGGGTGAAAAGCACCTGAAGCCATCTCAGGTTTGGACCGCAGCAACGGGCCGAGCGTTCGCTGCGATGAGTCAGATCTCTAACACACAGCAACATCTGTAACAGAGCGAAGACTGCAAACAGCAGGAGGACGGCTGATGATGCAGCTGAGTGATTCATCCCTCTGTGGGATGATGCTGAACGCCGCCTGAGTTAAAGACGGACCTGAGACCTCAGAGCGGCGCTTACCCATCTGACGTGCCCCCACATCCCCGACATTCTCCATTCACACCACATTAACTCAGCTCTTCAACCACTTCTGTTCAGGATTCTTATAAACCTGATGCTCTCTAATGAATGAGCTGTATTCATACATCTAATGAAGCAGCCCGCCTTTCCACCCATGTGAGGGGAGCCATTTTAATCGAGGATGTGTCATCAACTGAGGGCGTTGGGCGGAAATAAACATTAGAAGCAAAATCACTGATCACCTGCAAACTTTAGTTCTGTTATTACACATATTGTTTTTACCAAAAATAACTGTTAATGAGACAAAAAACCTGCTGCAGCTAAGAAGAAACTGTTCTGGTTCTGAAGCAAATCATTTTGGGTGAAATGCTCTGAACAGTTCAAACTTAGGTTTGGGAACAAGACGGTTCCATATTGTTGAAGAGGGAGTATCAGAGGAGCTCCAGCACTCCTTCATCCCACCATCATCTTCGTACTGTGATTTAAAAGTCACTGTTACTAGAAACCACCAAAAAAGTGGATTCTGTTGCAAGTCCTTCTTAACCTCGCTCCCCCCCCCTCCTCTGTTAAATGGTATCTCCCAGGTGCACTACATCATCAAACCATGTGATGTTTGGTGTTGCTGGATTCAGGAAGCTCTCGACTTTTCAAAAATAACATTGTTTTTCTTTTATTTATTATGTATTTTGCACCAGAGCAGCCTAAACACACAAAGTCCCACAGTGTCATTTACCTGCTCAGATGAAGCCACAGACAGTTATTCATCCTGAAACACATTTTTTATATTATTTTAGGCAAAATCTTCAACTTTTTACTGACTTCAGAGGCCCATTACTCTGTCTCTGTATCACCTAGAGTGTTTCTGACACTTTCACAAGAAACTTCAGGGAGTTTTCTTTCTGGCAAGACCTCATGCATGCATGTAGTCAGAGCGGTTCAGAAGCTACAGTCATTTTAATTTGGGTATGTCATTTTAGGCATTTTTGCTACAGAATCGGGGTGGAGTGCAAGAGGTTCGACGGTTCAGTACCAAGTCAATGCCAAATCTCTGATGCTACTGGTTTCTCTCCAGTGCTGCAGCTTCACACGGGCAACTCTTCCCGACCTGACGGAGCAGCGTACACACCTGTAAGCAGGCACATGCACAGACAGACCCCAGGTGGTGCTATTTGCAAGACCTTTTTTTTTGTTAATCTCTTAATAATTAGGGCCTGAGCACACTGTGCGAGGACGCTCTTGAAATTGAAGGAATTATTATTATTATTTTATATTTTAGTTTTTAATTCTCAATTAAACGTGTTCATCTGAGTTGAGCCCCTGCCCCTCTCTCTTCCCTTGAGGCAGACGCACACAAATCAAATTCAAACCATTGTTAAACATATCAGTACAGCCAATCTAATTTAAGATAGTCTGGCATAAAATCACTCTGTCTCCCTCCGACTCTGGTTCAGCTTCACCAGCTGCTCGCTGTGAGCAGAGACAAACGCTGAGCTGCTTTCCTTCGTCCACAGGTCTTTTTTTTAACCAAAACTCAACTTGAAATAAAGTTCATGTCTGATAATTAATATATTTGGAATTTCACTGTTGTTGGTTTCGATTATTAAACTCCTGGTGTTGTGACGTCGGCAGTCGGATATTTGGGAGATAAGAACGAAGCACAAACCTGTGAGTAGCTCCCACTCTCCTCTTCATCCCCCTCCCTCAGCTGGACCACGTCATCCTCCTCCTCCTCTTCGTCCAGCTCGCTCTCCGTGCTCTCCCCTTTCACGTGCATGTTCCCGTGCTCCTCCTCGCCCTTCAGGTGCACGGCGAGCTGCTCGGAGGACGGCGTGCTGTCGTCTGATCCCTCCTTCTGGAGCCTGATTGGTCAGAGTGACAGGTTAGAGACAGAGCGCGGGTACTGATGAAGATCGATCAGTGACGATGATGATGATGCTGACTGACGGCACCTGTGGAGCCCCGCCCCCTCATCGTCCTCCTGCATGTCATTGGTCTCTGTCAGCTCCTCCTCTGTCTCCTCTGGGTGGGTGGGCGGCGGCCTGGGAAGCTCCGCCCCCTTCGACAGCATCTACACACACAAGGTAACGTCAGTGTGTGAATGTGTGTGTGTGTGCATATGAACCTGTGTGTGTGTGTGTGTGTGTGTGTGTACCTTGTAGTGTTTCTCCAGGAAGTGCTGGTGCTGCTGCTGCACCACCAGCTGCTGCAGCGCCTGTGGCGACTGCGGCAGAGGTGCACTCTGGGTCCGAGCCAGCGGCCGATGGCGAGGCAACTTGTTGACCGCCCGCATGCCGCCGGACACGCCTCTCTCTGCCGTAACCAGCGGCGACTGGCTGTACATGGGGACTGAGGGGGGGGGGGGGGGGCAGAGACACAATGAGTTGGACACTGTGGGCGGAGACTAACGTGGACTTTAGCGTGGACAACGTGTGTGTGTGTGTGTGTGTGTGTGTACCAGCGAGCATGGCTGTCTGCTGTCGGGCCTGCTCCAGCAGTAGAACATGTTGTAATAATGAGGAATGGGCGGAGTGAGAGCTGGGGGGCGGAGTCTCCACCTCATGCCCCACCCCTGCAGAGACACATGATGACATCATTACTCGTTCCAGAGAACACAGCTTCAGTACGTAGTGCTCAAGAAGCTTCTTTAATTAAATGTTTCCTCACACACAAACACCTGCTGTTTAAGAATAAAATAAATGATGCGTTCAGGTGAGTTTACCTGCAGGTAGGGAGGACGTGGAGAGGAACTTCCCTGTTAGAGCTCCGCCCCCTCGCAGTGATTGGATAGCTTGACGCTCGGCCTCCTGCTGGGTGGACAGCTTTTGAGGGGGCTGTGGGGGGAAGTTACCATGGTTACTGGGGTTTTTAAACAGGAGTTGTGCAAATTTGCAGGAAAGCCCAATCAGTCTTTTTTCAGCATTGGCAGTATAAAAACAAAATCGGGGAGTGCAGCAAAATGCCGCCTAAATGCCGCCAGTGACCCACCGTGATGTGTGTGTTGGCTGGGAGGCCCAGGGAGATGTTGGGCAGCGAGGGCGAGGTGTAGAGATTCAGAGGACTCAATGTCCCATCAGCCCCCAGCGTCTGGTGCAGAGACCTCAGCTGCAGACAGAGAGGTTAGTTAGGAGCTCATCTCACTCTGTGACTCTTCTCTTTGGGCTCGACTGCTTTAAAACAAATTCATTAACCAGTTAATAAAACATCTGTCATTAATCATCAGAGTGCAGCTGTTTGACTCCACCTCATGTTTTCACCTCAGTCTCCTCATGTAAAATCTGACCTGCACATGTTGGATCAACGATGAAGCTCCTGAGCCTTGTTATCTCTGTTAATAAATAAATGTTTCTGTGCAACAACACAAAAACAGGCTGCGTTCACACCTGACCTGTTTGGGTCAGTTCGGTTGTGTGTGTGTGTGTGTGTGTGTGTGTGTGTGTACCTCAGTCTGTATGTTGGGGACCGACCCCGTGTTGCCGTTGGCGATAGCCGTGTTGGAGCTGTTGGGACTGCTGGGACCTGAACCTGGAGCGCTGTTACACAGAGACGAGACTGGACCAGAGACACAGAGAGGAAGAGGAGTTCATATATTTACTTTGAAAACACATTGTTCCTTTTGTTCTTCCAGAATGTAAATCATTGTCATGTCAGTGTGTACACGTGTGTGTGTGTGTTTACCTGATATCTCTATGGCTCTCTTCTTAAAGGTGCTGATGACGGTCCCGTCCTTCCTGCGGAGGAGTGGGGAGCTCCGCCTCTCCGCCACCTTTTGCTTCAACCGTGATCGCACCTTCAGGTTGGGCTCTGAGACTGCAGACAGGAAGACGACGCCAAAAAAAACCACATCAACGATCAACAGCCAACTGTGTTTCAGTCTGTTCAGACACATTTGTTCCTGTGTGTGTTTCTTTCTTTGGGGCTTTTTAATCTGGTGCGATTTGTTTGATTGTGATGTCATTGTTTTGGTTGGCGGAGGGTTTCTTTGGGGTATTTGAAGGTTTCCTGGTGATGTGCCAACAGGAGCCTATCAGGGCGGATACAGGAGCGCAGGCTGATAATCCTCTGCTGCATTCTGGCTGCAGCATTGGCGTGCTGGATGAGCGGCGCCAGCAGCAGGTGTATTTTAAGGAGGCTTTGGTTTAAAAGTCAAGGTGAAGGGTAGAGAGCAGGAAGAGGAACCAGAGGAACAAGAAGCGTCCAGGTTTTATTGGTTTAAGCTGCTGAAACAGTGTCCAGCACTGACGGTAGGAATGTGTCTACTGGGGAGATTTGGCGATACTGTTTCTATCACAGGAGCAAATCAGGGCTGGATTCTGTCGTGATCTCAAGAATCTAGCTGCCTATAGGTCCTGACACGCCAAGCTGACGGTCGGCCATCGACCAAAGTCAGGTCGTCTGTGAGCGTCTGTCGGCCTAGTTTTTGCGGTGTGTCCCGCACCGTCGGCACTTCGGCGTCGTCGGCTTTTCGGCCGATCGAGCATGTTGAATCGGCGGCGGAGCTTGTCGGTGAGAGAGATCACTCTGATTGGCTGTTCAGGTTTTATTTCCTCGCCCCTGTAGCGAGTGAATCTGCCTGTAGTGAAACCGGGGCTAACCGGTGCTTCCTCCTCAGGCTCCACTTCACTCAGCTGCCCCACAGACCCGCTGCTTCTTCACACTTTAACCTGAATAACAAACCGGAGCTAGCTGGGAGCGGCTAGCGGAGCGTTAGCCACAGCGTGACCGGAGGGAAGCACAGCCAGTTAGCCTCAGCTAGTCTCTGAGCTAGCCTCGGCTCTCCGTTTGGATCCAACCGGAGCACCGAGCCCTGGTTTGTTATTCAGGTTTAAAGTGGGAAGAAGCAGCGGGTTTATCGGGCAGCTGAGTGAAGTGGAGCCTGCGGAGGAAACACCGGGACCGTCTGGATGTAATAGTCCGTGGAGGTGCTGCGGTCGGTTTGGTGTGTCCGCACCTTCAGAGAGAGATTTTGGAAAGTTACCTACCTACATAATTCATGTTCATAAAAAGGTGGCGCCATTTTCCAAACACCAAATTTCACCACTGTATCGAACAGCAGCAGAAATGTGAGCTGTTCAGGGTCGGACTCTCTCGTGACCTCATGATTCTTGCGTGATGTTGTGAATCCAGCTGCAGCTGCAATCCTGGATGTTTGGTGAGTGTTAATCCTTCGACTGTGGGATCAGTGCAGCTAATAACAGATCTGACTGAGAAAGACTTGAAAGGATTTTGCATGAGCATTCTTTCGGTCAATGTTTTACATGTGTGATATAAATCTATCATGTGTAAGAGCCCTGACACACCACACCAACAGTCAGCCAACGCTCTGCACCTTGGCAGGTGTCACATCATCCACCATCCTCTCCACCACCTGATGACATCATCACTACGTCACTTCAGAAACGCCGATATGATGCGAATGAAACGTGTAAATGTGCGATGTTAAAGTTTTCCTCTGACGTCTGGTCTGTCCTGTCCTGACCTCCTCGCTTTGTATTGACGTGTTCGGAGAAATGCTTTCACATACTATCAGTTATATCTGAAACCGTGTGTGTGTGTGTGTGTGTGTGTCTTGTTAAGGCTACCTCTTCTCTGGTGAGTCAGACTCAAAGTGACTCACACTTGCACACTCGTACGTACGTACACACACACACACACACACACACACATATACAGAAACACACCACACTCCACCTCCTCCACATAATCCTTCGTCAAACTACACACACACACACACACACACACGTCCTCCCTCTGTCTGTGTGTGTGTCCTACCTGTCTTGCGGAGCGGGAAGTCGTCTTTGCCCTCGTAGTTCCCCAGCAGTGGGGGCAGTTTGTAGGAGGGAGGAGTTCCTGGGGTGTTACTCTGCGGAGGAGAGCCCTGCTCCAGGGAGGTGTGCTGGGCACCCCTGAAGACACACACACACACACACACACACACACACACACTGAGTTATCCGTCTGGTAAATCCTTTCAGAATATAAAGTGTTTCAGTGAAGTCATTTTCTGACGACCTGCTTCATGAACTTCATTTAGTCACTTCCTACATTTCCCAGAAACCTTCTCCTGTTACATCCTGTTCATCTGGACACACACTCAATGATCTGAGCCTGTTTCTGACCCGACCGTTGTTTGTTTGTTTGTTTGTTTCCCCATGAAAAGTAACGCACCTAAATTCGTACATATCCCACGTATTTTGAAAGGCTACAATTACGTGACCAATGTGCTGATGGCAGTAAACAAGGAAGCAGTCCTGAGCGCTTGTAAGGAGGCGAGTTGGGGTGAACGATGAGTCACAAAACCCGTCTCGGGTCAGTATATCATGTTTCAGTGATGCGACAGGTTGATGTCTCCACAGGCCTCACCAGCACTTTGGGGAGAAGGAATGGTTCAGTCCACCGATGCCGGGCTCTTTCTTATTGAGAAGGAACTCCTGCAGCTTCAGTTTCACCTCCGTACTGGCGATGGCACCTTCAGAAACACAGCAGAGAGTCAGCAAAGGACGGCGGCCATGTTGTATAGACACACACAGCAAACATGTGTACAGCATGGTAGTGATTAGTCTCACAGAGCCAGACCTACGTCGGGTTGTGCCAGCGCTGGAGAAGGTCTGGCTGAACCCATTAAAATTCCACACTAAGGTTGCTTTACACCAAATCTGGTGCTGCGGCGATTAGCCACAGGGGTGTGTGGCGTTTGGGAGTGTTGCTGAAATGGGACGTTTGTGGGGGAACGGAGGGAGGAGAGAAATCTCTCCATCTCAGTGACAGAGTTTTTGTTGTCACTAAGTTTAGGATGTCTTCAAAGATCTGCAGAGATTCTCTTGATTATCATTATGGCCACAAAAGACGCACATGTGTGCACACAAACAAAAGTGCACACTCCTTTGAGGGATAAAACACACAAGCTTCTAATACACACTTTAAGTCTTTCACTCACTGTAATATTCAAAGATAGAAACAGACTGTGTGACTTGTTCCTGTGGACTGCGGGTGTCTTTACGCTCTGATCGGCAGTTACATGATCGGCCACCGCAGCTAACGTCAGGTCAAATGACCACCACAATCAAATCATTTTATCACTAAGTCAATGTGGACATTTGTGCCAAATTTAAAGAAATTTCCTCGGGTCACTCTTGAGATATCGTGTTCACGAGTAGTGGATGGACGCAAGGTCACAGTGTCTTTGACCTCTGACCATCAAAATCCAATCAGTTCATTTGTAAGTCAAAGTAGATGTTTGAACCAAATTTGTGGAAACCTCTAGGAGAGCGAAACGGATACACAGCGACCTTCAAATTTGGCACAAATGTTCACTTTGACTCAAGGATGAACTGATTAGATTTTGATGATCAAAGAAATACCCTCAAGGTGTTCTACAGATATCGTGTTCACAAGAATCAGACCGAGCAACCTCTACCTTTCACCTTTCACCACCAAAATCTAATCAGTACATCACTAAGTCAAAGTGGACGTTTGTGCCAAGTTGAAAGCAATTTCCACCGCGCATTCTTAAGATATTTCCTTCCATTATACAAGTGCTAGGTCACAGCGTCTTTGACATTTGACCACCAAATTCTCAGCTTATTGTAGACTCAAAGTGGACGTTTGTGCCAAATTTACAGAAATTTCCTCCAGGCATTCTTGAGATATCGTGCCTGTGAGAATGGGACAGACAGATGGACAGACAACCCTAAAACATCATGCCTCTGTTCACGGCTTTCACCAGCACAGAGGCATATAAACACTCTGAGTTGTATTTCTTTAAACCAATCAGAGTCATCGGGGCGGAGCTAAGCCCAGGATGCAGCGACGCTGCTCATGCAAAAAGCGTTGGGAATGAACTCATTTTGGTGGAACATCATGTGGAGAGGTGAGTGCTGGCATTAAATCTCCGCGTGTGTGGACAAAGGTCTGGCCATGTGAGACGAGTTTAACGTAGCGACAGGAACGGAGACAGAGCCAGACATGATGTTAACAGCAGCAGTATCAGAGTAACGTACTCTCTTTGCCTTTCTCCTTGTTCCTCAGCAGCAGCAGCTGTTGCTCCAGTCGATGCTTCTCCTGCTCTTCATGTCTCTGTTGCTCCAGTTTCCTCTTCTGCTCCAGCTCCTGCTGCCTCTTCGCCGCCAGCAGCTCCTGTTGTTGCTTCAAACACACACATGTTACCGAGCTGACCACCAGAGCAGGAAGCTGAAGCCAGGTACGGTGAGCGGACACCTGTCGGCCTACCTTCAGGTGCTCCTGCAGCTGGACTTCGTGCTGTCTTGTCAGCACTTCGTGTTTCTTCTGGAACTCGGCGAACAGCAGCTGTTTCTGGAGCTCCTGCTGCTGTTTGAGCAGAACGAGCTCCTGCTGGAGCTGCTGCTCCCTCATGGCTGTGTCCACCGCCGCCACCCCCGCAGACAGAGAGCCCACCCTGGGCTCAGTCCGCAGATCTACTGGGCCTCCTCCTCCACCTCCTCCTCCTGGGCCTTCACCTGGACCCCCACCTGGGAAAACAGATACAGACAACAGGTCAGACATACTGGTGACATCACTGATTGTTTGTTCACCTTAAACAGCAGCGTCATTATTTCTTTAAGGTTCCTCATGTATTCAAATCCAAACTTTTGGTTGAAGTTTTAGCATTGAAATATAATTTATTTTCTAAAAAGTTTCCCATGTGACCTGGCAAAGGTTTCTGCAGGATAATGTCGCTTTATAAAAACACAGGCACAGAAGAGGAACAAGAGTAGCACCCAGCACCAACCCCGTGTTTTCCAGGCGGTTAAAGACGCAGCATGTGTACGGGCCCTTAGACAGTCCACTGATCCACTTTTAGGATGTAATAAACCCACTACATCAAACCGCCCTTCTGAGATATGGCCTCCCCCATCAAAGACTCACCTCCTTCCCCGCCTCCTCCTCGCTGCTCGCTGGCTGTTCCTACGGGACTCTGCATCCCCGACGGGAGGCTGCTCTTCACCTCCACTGCAGGACACAGGACAGAGAGACAGAAACAGAGCCATCGATTAGTCTGGAAAATGTTGTCAGACTATTACATCATTCATCTCACATGCACGCACGCACGCACGCACGCACACACACACACACACACACACACACACACACACACACACACACACAGAGTTCTCATTTCATTCAGATGAGCTGTGATAGTGGAAGAGGTGAGGAACACAGCGTCCTGAAACCTAAAAACAACCACGAGACTAGCATTAGCCTAGCATTGACTTACCCTACTGTTGTCATCAGCAACAATGGGAGTTAGCCTAACATGTAGTTAGCGTAGCTAGTTACCGTAACTAGTTACTTCATTAAAAAGTAACTCAGTTAGTAACTCAGTTACTTAAACCAAAAAGTAATGCGTTACTGAGAAAAGTAACTTTTTAGTTAAGTTGTGTGGTAACGTTAGACCACAACATCAACTCAACGTGAATAAGATTAACAATGATGTCTACATCTGTTCTAAGGTAAGTCAACATTGTGTTTGAGGCAACATATTGTCACTTTGCTGGAAAGAAATATAAAGTTATCTTTAACATCTCTAGCTAACGTTAGCTAAAGTTAGCCTAACGTTAGCTCCTAGCTGCGTTGTTCATCATGTCACCTTGTTTGCTGGGAGTTCATTAGCCTATTTTGTTCTAGTTTTGTACTTTGGTGATCGTACATCATTGTTAGCTGTTGTCCAAAGGGCTCTAGTTAAGCTAACGTTAACTTCTGGAGCTTAGCTTCATTAACTTATCTGTAATGGCAGAGATAACAAAGGTTGGCAAACGTTATGCTGAATGATTCAGTGTAAATACTGTAGCACCAAACTAACGGAGAGACACTCTTGGTAAAGATGGTAAAAAGGCCGTTATCCTTTTCTCATATTCTGAGCCAAAAACCTTAACTTCAGTGGCACTTTAACTTGTTGTCTTTGATGGTGACGGCAACCAGATGCGGTTCACAAGCGTACACTGTGACCTGTAAATATTGGCTTGTAATTTAAGCTTTTCATCGACCTTCTCAACAATAAAATGATGAATATATCCCTCCAATGCGTAGTTTAGGCCCTTTTGGTTACTTCTCAATGACATCTGATCGTTATGTCTCCAAAAATCATCAGTTGCCTCCTGTGAAATGCCGTGTACTGTGACACCTGCCATAGCGCCGCTCACTGAATGTTGATAGTTTGTCCGAGTGAGTGGAGGGGGCGTGGCTTAGCCATAGGTCAATTGTTCATATACCTCTATCTGACTTGACTATCTTTTATTGTTTAGGGCTAAAATGTTTTAGTGAAAGCGAACTTCAGTTTGTGAAGGAATACTGCATGCTGCGGGTTGTTTTAAAACCTAGCCAAAAATAACGGAGTAATGCACCGTTTGGTTACGGTAACTGAGTTACTGAATTTAAAAACTAACACCTTAGAGTAGGCTATTAGTTACTGCCAAAACTTACGGCATTACTAATAACGCGTTACTGCCCAACACTGGCTAGGCTGAAGGACACTGCAAGATATGGTAACAAAAACATTAATGCTGGTCAGAAATCGTTATCAGTGATTATTATTAGTGGTTATCAAATAACAACAAAGACTGACGTTAACAGTCGTGTTTTATCTTCATTTAAGTCATAGAAGCAAAGTAACAAACACTCTTACATATCCAAAATGGTAAATATAAATCTTAATTACCGCGATGTGCTCTGTGACCTGCTGACATCTTACTACAACACACTGATGTTGGCTTTTTGCTCTCAAACTTGTGTCAAACTGAGCGATGCACAGACGGAGTTTTGCCTTCGTTCTCTGACACCATTCAGATAAAGACATTATGTGTTTTAGAGCTGCGTATTTTTTTATTTTGTATTTTTGTTCAGCTTCAGCTCATAAACTGTCTTTTCAACAGAGTTGGAAATCGACGCCACTCAATATGTGAACATTGTTTCTTTCTTCCAGCTGATGAGTGAAGCAAATCTCGCAGATATTCATCGGGTGGCTGGTGCTGATTTTCAACCTTTCTTTACACGCCGCCATTTTCTCATGAGTTCCCGACCTGTACTGCACGTATGCAACTCTCAACAGAGATGAGAAGAAGTGAGATGACTCACACTTTCGCTACCACTGTCATCAGCTCCAGAAAAATAATTTCATTCTTTTTTTTACAACTTTTACTATTTTTGCTGATTTACTGGCGCTGGGTGATCAGTCAATCCTCATCATTGATCCCTGCGCACGTTAACTGGACATATTTATAGCAGAGAGAGAGAAAAGCCTGCTGCAGTCCAGAAACAGAAAACACATCCCTCCTCTCCGTCAGTGACAAACGCAGCGCCTCCGACTGATCTGGATTTGTGGGCTAATCAGTGACAGATTAATACTGATTTCCTGCTTCAGGCTCCACAGTGACGTTAGCTCAATAACAGATATGGAAACTCACCAAGGCCAAAATTCATCACCATCACTTCAAATGTTTCAGCTTCATTAAAGCTTCAGTCTGTAAAGTGTTGTGTTCAGGGACAGTCCGGCTGTAACTGTGCTGTGTGGGTGTGTCTGGTAGATGCTGAGTGTGTTTTGAAACTTTTGAAACTTTTGAAACTTGTGTCTCTCATGAACATTCTTCACACACTCTGTAGTCAAGTTTCCATCAAACCTAATGCACATTTTCTGCATAACAAAATGTGAATTGTTGCATATTTCCATTCACTTCTGTGATGCAAACATTATGAGTCAGGCCGTCCAATCACAGTGGAGGAGAGGCGGGACAAAGACCAAGTACGACGATGGATATGGGATCAATACTGAACCCACAACCCTACATGCACTTCCCATCGTCCAGAGCAAGTACTTGTTACGACAGGTTGGTTTGGTTGAGTCCACAAACAATTTTAGTCAGTTTATTCTTCAGTCCAAGTGGACGTTTGTGCCAAATTTGAAGAAATTCCCTCAAGGTGTTCTTGGACAGATGACCCCAAACATAATGCCTTCAGCCTACAGCTATCTCACACTCCCAGCTGAGTGTTTTCAGCTAGAAAAAAAAACACCTTGGTGGACACACAGTCTTATGAAAGAAACACCAGGAACTGTCCAACCAATGAGAAATTGGTCGGACAAGAGCACATCAACCGACCAATCAGGTGTCTGCCCTGAACATCAGCACATCGTTAAAAGAGCATCAAACAACAGAAATCACACTGGCGTCTTCGTATGACGGGCGTCAAGTGCCGCCTGCTGACACCAACAGGAAGCACTGCGCTGCAGTGCGTCATCTAAAGACCACACACTAAAAGTGTGTTTCCTCCACCTCTGCATTAGCTTCAGATCATGTGTGGACGAGCACTAATCTGACTTTATTTCTCACCTGAGGAGCTGATCTCCAGAGCTGTGGCTCACCAGGACGTATCTTTTTTTACCACTATCTTTATGACGATGGGAATGTGGGTCGTTTAATTTAAGATATTTCTCAACCTCAAAAACAAGGGCCCGTCCCAGTACCCCCCCTTAGCCCTACCCCTACATTTGCGTGTTCCCGCGAGGGGTAGTTCCTTTTTGCGTGTAGGTGTAGGGGGCATAACGAGGGGTAGTGGGTATGAAACTAGCCCTTCGGAGCGAGGGATTTCAGATGCTGACTTGCCAGCAAGGGGTAGATGTCGCCATGGCTACCACCGAGCAAGAGATGGGGAAAAAGTTCATACATAGCTAACGTTACCGTCGTCAGGTTGCTTGTTAGCTAGCTCGCACTATCTGGCGTCTGTCATCTGTCCTGTTCTGCAAAATTGTCTGATTTTTCACATGACGATAACACGCCAGCTAGCATAACTATGCTGCCTCATAATGTTAGCTGGTTAGCTAGCTGGCAGAAGTCCCCTGTCGTCTGTCGTTCATCAAACGAAGCATGATGAATGCAGCAAACGCGATCGGTAGGATGAACTCAACTGGAGACTCCATTGTAGATGCCGGTTGGAAATGTAGATGGCTCGCAGCTTCCTGTTTAAAATAGTTACGTATGTGTGAACGTAACCGACGCAGTGATGTAGTGAGTGGTGTCCCAATTCCTAGTGAAAGATTTCTACCCCTACCCCTCGTTGCTTCATTTTGAGGGCCAAGGGGTAGTGGACAAGGGGGGGTAGTGTTCTCATCAATACATCAACTCTTCCAGCTCTGCTGAGAGTCATGTTTTTTGTGCAAAATTCAAAAGTGTATAAACTTAGGTGGATGAACAAACACTTCCTGTGTGGGGTTATTTCAATGTTTACATGTATAGGCTGACGCTAACACTCAGTGTCACTCTGTCATCTCAGCTGCTACAGGTTAACACACAGACAGACACACAGATCTATATGTGGGGTGGTCTGCAGTAATTGTCGACGTGCCCTTCAGCAGGGCGGCAGCGACCCTGACCTGCCTCTGCTCTCCTGGCCTCAGCTGACCTCTCTGCTATTGGATCAGTGTTGGGATGTCAGGCTCTCAGCTGTCTGCCGGCCAAAGAGGAAATTCAATTAGGAAGAAGCTACGGTGTAGTCTGACCTGTGACCCGTCTCTACAGGGCGGCTCTGATTGGTCAGCTCCTGCTCTCTGCTCCTGCGGCCCACGTGGACTCTAAGCTCATCAAACAACAACAGTCACAATTAGGCCGAGCTCATTACGGAGGATTGTGACGACTTAGAGCAGGAAAGATTTCATCACTTCAAATCTGAGCTGACTTTAGTCCCAACGTGAGAGAGGAACACCGACTTTACTCATTCAAATCCACCGTTACACCTCCGTCGTCTTATTCTGGATAAAGACTGAACACACACACACTCACACACACTCACACTCACTGCGAGCGTTCAGCTCACTCACTGAGGCCGATTCAAAACCCAAAACTGAGAGCATGTGTGTGCAGCCACTCACATCTAAATTACCTAAACAAATATTCTGGCGTTTGACTGTGACGCACGTGTCTCCCCCTCCACTACAACACACACACTGTCCCTGTGTGAGTGTG